CACCCTGGGATGCCCCTCATCCTGATATCCCAGTGGCGGATCCCCGCTTGCTGACTATTACATGATCTTTGACCTCTGAACCTTAAATGTGTTGGTCTTGCCCTCTGCATGTGATTGGACGATCCTCCCCTCTGAGCCTCTCAGGTGACCCTCACACTCTGATCTCTCATTGGGCATTTGTCGTCTGAGTCCCCATTGTGTGATCTTCACCTTCTGACTGTCCATTGGGCAACACTTGCCTTGTGACTGCACTGTGTGACCTTTGCCCTCTGACCCCCATTTTGCCAACCTCAACTTTTGACATTTGTTGAGCAATACTTGACGTTTGACCTCGACCCATTGGTGACCTTCACTCTTTGAATCTCATGGTGCAATTCTCAACCTCGTACCCCGTTGAGTGCCCTCTGACCTCCCCCATGACCTCTTACCCTTCACTCCTGACCATCAGCAGGCAATCCTGAACCTCTGACCCCTGTTTAGTGCCCAGTGTCCTCTGAACCCCATTGGGTGACATGTGACCTCTACCCCTGCCATGCCCCACCACTCTTACCCCTTGTGCCCTTCAGGCTCTTCGCAGATGGGCTCAATGACCTGGCCATCTTCATGGAGATCTTGGCCCCTGCCTTCCCAGCATGCTTCACTCTCATCATCTGCATCAGCGGCTTCTTCAAGGTAGCAGGGACTGGGTTGGCATGAGGGGGTTTGGCGTGTGGGGAGAGGGGATTGATGCAAGGGGTTTGCATTGGGAGTTGGGGTGGGGGTTGGCATGAGGGTAAGAGGGTTGGTTCAGGGGAGGGGGCGGTGTGATATATTGGGCTGTATTAGTAGGAGCATTGCCAGCACATCAAGGGAAGTGATTATTCCCCTCTGTTCGGCACTGGTGAGGCCATACCTGGAGTATTGCGTCCAGTTTTGGTCCCCCCCCACTACAAGAAGGATGTGGACAAATTGGAAAGAGTCCAGCGAAGGGCAACAAAAATGATCAGGCGTCTGGGGCACATGACTTACGAGGAGAGGCTGAGGGGACTGGGGTCATTTAGTCTGCAGAAGAGAAGAGTAAGCAGGGATTTGATAGCGTCCTTCAACTACCTGAAGGGGGGTTCCAAAGAGGATGGATCTAGACTGTTCTCAGTGGTAGCAGATGACAGAACAAGGAGTAATGGTCTCAAGTTGCAGTGGGGGTGGTCTCGGTTGGATATTAGGAAACACTATTTCACTAGGAGGGTGGTGAAGCACTGGAATGGGTTACCTAGGGAGATGGTGGACTCTCCATCCTTAGAGGTTTTTAAGGTCAGGCTTGACAAAAGTCGTGGCTGGGATGATTTAGTTGGTGTTTGTCCTGCTTTGAGCAGGGGGTTGGACTAGATGGCCTCCTGAGGTCTCTTCCAACCCTAATCTTCTATGATTCTATGTGGGTGAGGAGTTGGTGGGAGGGGTTGGCATGAGGGGCTGGCATTGGGGGATTGGCACAGGGGGAGGGATTGGCATGGGGTGATTGGTAGGGGGTTGGCAGAGGATTGGCAAAGGGGCAGGGGATGGTGTCAGAGCTGCGTGGATGGCAGAAGTTCCATTTCACGAAGGATTTTGTGCTTTTGAAATTTGGCCGCATTCTTCATCAGAGCAAAACCCGACCATTTCAATATTCTCCACGAAGGAGAATTCCAGAAAACGTTCATTTCAGCTCGTTGGAAAGATTTTGCTTTAGTTTCACCTCTTTGTACTATATAACACAGCGTATACTCCATACTGAGGTCTATGCAGTAGAGAATTCTATGGCCATCGATACCAAAATGAAATAAAAACAATCCAAGCAAAAATTATTTTCTAAACAAAGAGTCAGGACATTGTCAGAACATTTTCTCCCGTTTTCTTTTTTTCCCCCTGATGAAATTCTGGTGGAACCGCCCTGATCCACATATTCCTATGGGATACGGCTCTCTCTTAAGTCTTTCCCCCCGACTCTCGTTGACATGAGTCCTGCACCCCACACCCAAACCCCTCTCCTCTCTCTCTCTCTTTCTGCCCCAGTGCATCGTGGGAGTAGCCGGAGGCGCCACCCGGGCAGCCCTCACCATGCACCAAGCCCGGCGGGACAACATGGCGGACGTTTCGGCCAAAGACGGGAGCCAGGTGGGATCCTGCTGGGGCAGTGTGGCCAATGTTAAGGGGCACCCCACAGTGCAGCGAGCAGGGGAGCTCCAGGGGGCAGAGGGGACAGGTTCTCCCAGAATGCAGCAGGGCGGAAATGCCATGGGGATGGGAGTTGTACCCCACCTCTGCAGACGCCCTCACTCACTCCTCTCCCCGACCCCCAGGAGACCCTGGTGAATTTAGCCGGCCTGCTCGTCAGCCTCCTCCTCATCCCCCTCGTCACTGACAGGCTCCAGTGAGTGACCCCAAGGGCAGGGATAGCACAAGTGTTATGGGGGGGGGGGGTCAGAGGGGATTGTGGGAAGGATTGTGGGGGATTATGGGAGGTGGGAGGCAAAAGTGATTGTGGGAAGGGTGGTGGCAGGCATGGGATTGTGGGGGATTCTAGGTCTGGCTGGGCCTGCCCCTGTCTCTGATCCCTGTCCCTGCCCTCCACGCCCCCAGGCTCACCTACGCCCTCTATGGCCTGTTCACGGCTCTACACCTCTACGCCAACTACCGGGCCGTGCGCGCCGTCTGCATGGAGACGCTCAACCGGGCCCGGCTGCGCCTTGCCCTGCGCCACTTCCTGTGCCAGGGCTGGGTCCCCACGCCCGCCCATGCCAACCCGCAGGAACCCCTGCTGCCAGGTGACCACGGGGGGAAAGAGGATACGGGGGAGAGGGGAAGAGGAGAACCCCAGCATGGGCAGATGCAGAGACCAATTACCCCGAGAGAGGAAAGGCCCCATGTCCCGTTCCCTGACCCCCTGAGCCAACCAGCCAGTCAGTCTCCCCACCCTGGAGCCAGATTGGAGCCAGCGCTCCCGAGAGGGGAAAGGCCCCATGTCCCCTTCCCCCCACATACCCAGCTGACTAGACTCTTTGCTCCTTACTTCTTCACAGAATTCCAGCGGCATTTCAGGGTAACTCTGGGCGCCCCACTCCACCTGCTGGTCTCCAGGTTAGTAACAGAGGTTTAACTTGTCCCTCATCCCTCCCCAGGGATTGGTCCCTCGGCCCAGCCAGCACAAGTCTCTAGGGACATCCCTCGACATTTATTCTAGTTGCTGTTCCTGCTCACAGAAACCTTTGTGTCTTTGGTGGATCTTGTCCCTGTAACATCTTGTGGCAGGGAGTTCCAGAGGCTAAACGTGTCTGTTCCATTCATAGTGAGCATCGCCTTCTTTGCGTATTCTTTCCCTCTGTCTATCCTGCAGCGTAGCTGAGTTCCAGCAGGCCTGCGAGGGCAACTCGAGGAACTATCTAATCGCTCTGAACCGAAAAGCTGGTGAGGAGGGACCGGGAGGAGGAATGAGACCCAGGTGTCCGGGATGGCAGCCATAGGAGGCAGAGACCAGGAGGGGAATGGGACCTAAGTGTCCAGAACAGCAACTGTAGGGGGCAGAGCCTGGGAGAGGAAATGGGACCCAGGCATCCGGGATGGCAGTTGTAGGAGACAGAGACCGGGAAGGGAAATGGGATCCAGACGTCCAGGATGGCAGTGCGGTGAGATGTGCGGGACACCCTGCTGTGCCCTTCTCCCCACAGGCACTGTGGCCGTGGCCCTGCGCCATGGGGCGAGCAGTGTGGACACCATCCAGGCCTGTTCCCACGCCCTGCTGCTGGAGACCCTGCTGTGCCAGGCCCTGCCCCCGGGTGCTGTGGAGGGAGAGACGGTACAGAAGCTGCAAAGGCAGCTGTGTGGAGGTGAGGGGCCGGGCAGGGGGGCGGGGTGCCCAGACACCCCCTGTGCCTGATCCTGTGTGCGGGGAGGGGGGCTCAACTAGGGGTTTCCCAGCACCTATCCTTCATCCCCAGCCAGCTCTGTTCTGTCTTTCAGCCCCTGACAGAGAGGTGTGGGCTGCAGTAACGGAAACTCACCAGCTGCTGGACAGGCTGTTCCCCCGGTTCCTAGCAGGTAACTGGGATGTCTGTGCACTCAGCCCTCAGGGACCCCTAGTGCCCCTCCCTGGAGAGAGTGCCCCCTGCACTCAGCCCTGAGCTCCCTGGTGCCCCTACCCCTGGGAGAGCGCCTCCTGCTGGGGAACATCCCCATCCCCTGCACTCAGCCTTGAGCCCCCTAGTGTCCCTACCCCTGGGAGAGCGCCCCCTCCTGGGAAATGTCCCCACCCCCTGCACTCAGCCCCGGCCCTTCCCTGTGTCCCCCTGTCTGGGGAGAGCGCCCCCTGCTGGGGAACATCCCCACTCCTTGCACTCCCAGTCCTGGTCCCACCCCCTGCAGGCCCTGTGCCCTGGGAAGAGCACTCTGTGCTCTGGAGACCCCACCCCCATGCTCTCAGCGCTGGGGTCTTCCCCATGGGCCCCTGCCCTGGGGAGATTGGCGAGACACCCCCACCCACTGCATTTCCAGCCCTGGGGTGTCCCCTGCTGCCCCCTCTCTTATGGAGAGCGCCCCCTGCTGGGGAAACACACACACCATCCCCTTGCACTGGGCTGGTCTGTCTCTTGCAGGGCTAGTCTCGGCGGGCTGGGTCACAGATCGGAACCTGCTTGGAGCAGAGGAGTGGCGTCTGGATTGGACCCCAAAGGACAAGAAAGTCCTGTAGGCCGGCCCCCCTCCCCAGCATCGGTACCAACCCCAACGGGACCAAAACATTCAGTGCCTTAGTGGGCTCATCCCAGGGAGCTGACTGGGACCAGTGACTGAAGGATGTGGATTGGATCCAGCTCCATGTGGGACCAGAGTTATAGACGCTGGGAATTCAACGTGCTCTGCACCCCTGTACTGCTGGAAATAAAGTTTTAATATATATACATAGACCTGGGGCTTTTCCCTGCTAGGAGGAACAGCTGAGATGGAGCCACCTTTAGGTTGGGGTGCAGGGGCTGTTTACAAGGGGATCCCTCACCCAGCACTGAGATGCAGCCACCTCTGGTGCAGGGTGTGGGGACTGTTTATATGGGGATCCCTTGCTTAGTGCTGAGATGCAGCCCCCTCTGGGGTGGGGTTCAAGGGCTGTTTATATGGGGTTGCCCGGTGCTGAGACGCAGCCCCCTCTGGGGTGGGGTTCAAGAGCTGTTTATATGGGGATGCCTGGCCTGGCCTGAGATGCAGCCGTATCTGGGGCATAGTTCAAGCCCCTTCTGTTTGCAATCCCACCTGTGTGCGTGGCCTGGTGATGTCATGGTCCTGCTGTGTGGGGTGATGATGAGACCATACGCTTGTGCAGAGCCAATTCCGTGAGGGAGCGCCCGGCCCCCCCGTGCAAGCCTTGTGAGTCATTGTGCACGTGTTGTGTGATGGCCATTGCTGAGCACTGGCGAGGAGGAAGAGACAGATCCGGGCCAGCAACACCCTTGCTCCCAGTGAGTGTGTCTGGGCTGGCCTCGCCCTGTGTGTGTGTGTGTGTGTAGTCATTTGTGTGTTGTCATTCTCTGTACCCTTGTAGTGGGTGTGATTTTGTGTTAGTGTCATTCAGTGTTTTTCTCTGTGTTTGTGTGTGTGTTTGTGATTGTGTTAGTGTTCTGTCAGTGTGATTTTGTGTTTGTGTGAATGTTACCCTCTATTGTTATAGTGTGTGTGATTGTGTGTTAGGAGTATTCTCTGTACCCTTGTGTGTGTGATTGTGTGTCACTGTGCGCACATGTGTGTGTGTCTTGTTCCGCATGCCCTTGTGTGTGTGACTGTGTGTCACTGTTCTGTGTGCCATATTGTAGGAGGCTGCTGGGGGGTGTGTGTCTGTGCTGAGTTGTGGGTGTGTGTGTGTGTGTGCATATGATGCACCAACATCAGTAGATATCAGCTGTCTTGAGAGTCATTGTCCTGCTATCAGTGTGTGTGTGTGTGTGTGTACATGTTGCAGGGTGTGGGTCATTGTGTCAAATGTGTGTGTTGTACCTGTGCCAGTTGTCCGTTCTGCTGTCAGCGAGTGTGTGTGAGTTTTGTTTCCTGTGTGTATAAATAGCAAGGTGCGTCACTCAGGGCAGGTGTGTGTTACATTATTAATGCGTGTGGGGGGTGTCCTGTTCCGTGTGTGTGTGATCCAAAGGCTAGGAGTCACTCTCCCAGCCACTGTGCATCAGTGTGTGTGTGTATATTTGTGTGTGTTTGTTTGAAGGTTTTCAGGAGTCACACCCCACTCTCAGCTGCTGTGTGTTATGTGTGTGTATATCTCTCTCTGTGTTACACTATGTTATAGTCTGTGTGTATGTGACACTGTGTGTCTGTGCATGTGTGTGACGTGTGTTACACTGTGCTACACTGTGACATTGCGTGTTACACACAGACACACAGTGTGTGTGAATTACACTGTGCATTTTGTGTTAGTCTGTCAGTGTATCACATCTGTTATTGTGTTATACTGTTATGCTCTGTGTGTTACACTGTGTTATGCCCTGTTTATGTGTTAAATTTGTGTGTGCAACTCTTACTCTTTCTGTGTGTCTGTGTGTGTATCTTGGTGTGTGTGTTACACTGTGCTCTGTGTGTGATGCGGTTACACTTTCTGTGTTACACTGTTAGTGCGTTCCGCTGGCTTATGCTCTCTTTGTGTGTTACACCCTGTGTGTATTACATTTGTATGTGCAACACTTTCGCTATGTATCTCTGTATCAGTGTGTGTGTTATACTGCTATACTCTGTGTGATGCTGTTTGTGTGTTACGCTCTGTGTGTTACACTTGCCTGTGCACAACACTGTTATGCTCTGTGTGTATGACACTGTGTGTCTGTGTTATGCTGTGTCTAACTGTGTGTGATCTCGGGGAGTGGGCTGGCTCTGTCTTAGGGGGTGCCCTCTGACCCCATGGCAGCCCTGAACCGGGGCGCTGCTCTCCTGATGGGCGTGGGGGGCCCAGCCTGGCTTTGGGGGATGCGCCTGGGGCAGTGACTCCCCTCTGCCCCAGGCTGGGATCATCCCAGGCAAAGGCAGGCTGTGCAGAGCATCTCCTAACTCCCAGTTTCACCCCCAGGGGTGAGCCGTGGTGTGTGTGCGGTGCTGTACGTGTCCCTCCAGGATGGCCAGGCTCTCCCTGCGGCGCCATCTACCCCAGATGCCTGGCCATGCCCTGCGGCTCCGCTCCTGGCAGATTCTCAAGCCCCTCACCCATGCTGGGCTGCAGCCCACCAGCAAGGTCAGGGCGTGGGGGGTAGACAAGGGGCCAACGAGGGGGAGGAGCTGGGGAGAAGGGGGGCAGAAGAAGCGGTGGGAGGGGAGGAGTGGGGGGAGGGGGTATATACGGGGCGCTATGGGGCGAGTGCCCCCTGCTGACTCCCCCCCCCCCCGCAGGCCGTGTACCGTCGCACCCCCACCCGGCTGCTCTCGCGACTCTGGGGGGTGCTGACTGGGCTGGCGCTGCCCCGCTGGCTGCGGCGCCCCCTGCTGGCGCTCTACGTCTGGGCCTTCTCCGTCAACATGGCCGAGGCGGCTGAGGAAGATCTGAGCAGCTACCGCAGCCTTGGGGAGCTCTTCCGACGCCCGCTCAAGCCCTGGGTGCGTCCCATCGCACCCCATGACATGGTACGTCCTGCCCTGTCCCCCGCATTGCCCTCCCATGACATGGTACATCCCTCGTTGCCCTCCATTGCCCTCCCATGGCATGGTACGCCCTGCTGTGTTCCCCCCCCATTGCACTTCCATGCCGTGGTATATCCTGCCCTGTCCCCCATTGCCCTTCCATGGCATGGTATGTCTCATGCTGCCCCCCCGTTGTCCTCCCATGCCATAGTACGTCTTGCCCTGCCCCCCATGACATAGTAGGTCTCTCCCATGGTCCTCCCATGGCATGGTACGTCCCACCTTGCCTTCCCATTGCCCTCCCATGGTATGGTATGTCCCACCCTGCCTCCCCATTGCCCTCCCATGACATGGTATGTCTCACCGGCCCCTTCATTGCCTTCCCATGTCATGGCAGGTCCCCCCGCCCCTCCACGGTATGGTTACATTCCACTCCTGCACCCCCTAAAATATGATAGGTCTCATTTTGTTCTCCTCCCGCCATGGCATGGTATGTCCCACCCCTCCTGTACAATTATGGTATGTCCCACCCCCACCCCAACATGGTATGTCTCATTGGCCCCTCCCCCAGGTGCCCCATGTCATGGGTCTTCCAGCCCCGAGACACCCCTTTGACATGGTTCGTGGGGATGCCCACAGTGGCAGTACACATGCACGTCCCTCCTTGAGGCCAGGCTCACCAGGGTCCCAGACCTACCCGCCTGCCGTGTGCCCAGCAGTGCCCCGAGCTGGCGTTGGCCACCGCTCAACATGGCCGTGCCAGCCGCGGCACTTGAGCCTCCCGCACGTGCAAGACACAAGCGCGTTCCCCGGGGCTCCGGGCCGGGTGCCTTCACAGCCTGGCTCTTCACGAGAGCTTTGCACTGTCTGTGCACGGGCTGGCATGGGCCCTCCCCAGAGCCCTGCCCCTGCCTTCCCCAGGGCGCTGCTCCCTGGGGATTGGGAGCTCCCCCATCTTTGCTCAGCTGCCACAGGTGTGACCGCCCTGGCCTGCCCTCGTGAATCCCCTTGTGAGGCCATCCCCGCTTCTCATCCTGTCCCGGCTGGTTGCAGGTCAGCCCGGCGGATGGCTGCATCGTGCACCTGGGCCGGGTGCGGAGGAGCCGCCTGGAGCAGGTGAAGGGGGTGACGTACTCCCTGGAGAGCTTCCTCGGGCCCCAGGACTGGAGGGAAGATGGGGGTGAGCGAGGGGTTGGGGGTGGGCTGACGGTGGGGGGCTGGGCCCAGGATCCAATCCAGGGGGGGTGGCTGGGATAGATCCCAGGGGCCAATCTGGGCCCCAAGGGGGCCATGCTGGAGGGCCAATCTGGGGTGTGTCTCCCCCAATCCAAGGCAGGCCCCAATTAACCCTTTGCTGTCCGTCTCTCTCCCCCAGGCCGGGGTCTCTCCCCACGGTGGCACCGGGGGCATCGGCTCTATCAGTGCGTCATCTATCTGGCGCCGGGCGACTACCACCGCTTCCACTCGCCCACCAACTGGCACATCCAGCACCGCCGGCACTTCCCTGGTACGGCACAGCCGAGGGGGGGAGCAGGCTGGGGGGGGTGGGGGGCATGGACCCGGTTGTCACTTACGCTGGGGTCTCCTCTTCCCTCCCATCTGTCTGCCTGCCCTGCCCCGTGCCCGTCTGTGGCAGGGTCCCTGATGTCGGTGAGCCCGAGTGTGGTGCGCTGGATCCCGGGGCTGTTCTGCCACAACGAGCGGGTGGTGCTGAGCGGGGAGTGGGCCCACGGCTTCTTCTCCCTGACTGCCGTGGGGGCCACCAACGTGGGCTCCATCCGCATCTACTGCGACCAGGTGGGGCTGGGGGCAGAGGGAGCTGGGAGCCCTGGAGAGGGGGGCAGCCCTCTGGTGTCCTGATGGGGTCCTTGGTGAGCGTGTGCGCTTGTGGGGTTGCGGGGGGGGGGGTGTCCTGGTGAGCATGCACATGCTCATGGGATTGCATGTGGGGGGGCCCTGGTGAGCATGTGTGTGCTTGTGGAATCTCATGTGGGGGAGCCCCTGGTGAGCACGCACGCATTTGTGGGATCAGACAAGGGGGGGCCCTGGTGAGCATGTGTGTGCTTGTGGAATCTCATGTGGGGGAGCCCCTGGTGAGCGCGCACGCATTTGTGGGATCAGACAAGGGGGGGCCCTGGTGAGTGTGCAGGCGCTTGTGTGATCGCACGTGGGGGGCCTCTAGTGAGCCCATGCATGCTTGTGAGATTGCACGTGGGGGGCCCCCGGTTAGCATGTGCTCCCATAGGATTGCATGTGGGGGGGCCTGGTGAGCATATGCTTTGGTGGGATTGCACGTGGGGGGGGGGGGGCTAGTGAGCACGTGCTCCCGTGGGATCGCATGTGGGGGGGGGGTGAGCGCACAGTCACATGGCTCCTGCAAACCAGAGCAGACGTGGCATCGGGGGGTGCCCGTCACCGTGGTAACCGTGGCCCCCTTTCTCTCCGGCAGGACCTTCGCACCAATTGCGCCCGCCACGTGCAGGGCTGCTACCATGACTGCAGCTACTTGGCCTGGGCGGAGCCAGCTGGAGTCCCCGCCCCCAAGGGGGCCGGCCTGGGCGAGTTCAACCTGGGCTCCACCATCGTCCTCCTCTTCCAGGGGCCCCGGCGCTTTGGCTTCCGCGCCAGTGCTGGGCGCAGGGTGCGGGTGGGGCAGGCGCTGGGCAGCCTGTGACGCGGCGGGCAGAGGAGCAGGCCCCCATTTCCGGGCGGGACCCCGCTTTCCTGGGGAGATTGCAGAACCCCTTCACTGCCATGGGGGAGACACCCCAGATTCAGTTGGGTAACAGGGAGGAGACACCAGACTTGTGGGAGAAGGGAAACCCCCACTTCAGATGGGAGAATTGGACCCCTCTTTACTGGGGGGAAGGGAAGAGTCCCCCATCCCAATAGCCCCTTCAGCTTTCTGCTGGGGAATGTGGGGGGCTTTGACACCCCTTAAGAGCCATGGAGGAAACATAGGTGGGACCCTGATCTTAGCAGGGATGGGATTTTTGGAGGCAGGAGCATGAGGAACCTACTTTCAAGATGGGGAACCGAGAGCCCCCCCATACTAGGAGAAGGGACCCCACTTTCCAGTGAGGGAATATGGGGTGAATCTGTGGCCCCCCATCTTTAATTCCAATGGGGGTAAAAAGAAGATACTTGGTTTTAAGTGGGGGAGTACCAAATTCAGCGGGGAGGGTATGGGGGTGGATCCGAGGCCCCCCCTTAATTCCAATGGGGGATGATGTGAATGGGGCTCTGGGGAGCTCCTTCCCAGATCCTTTGGGGTTGAAATCTGGGGGGAAACTTTTGTACAATCCTCTCTGCCGCCCCGGCCCCTGCATCCCATCCCATCCCCATAAGGCGGTCTGAACGCCAGGGGGCAGAATAGCTCTGAAATAGACCTTTCTATTTTCGTATACAGCATGTTTGTCCTGGTGCGTTTGTGGTGGGGAACGGGACTTAGGGCCTTTCCCCTCTAAAGGGCGCTGGCTGTGATCCGGCCCTGGGCTAGGGGATTGGCTGGCTCGGGGGGGTGGGGAACGGGACCTGGGGCCTTTCCCCTCTAGGGGATGCCGGCTCCGATCTGGCCCTGGGCTAGGGGATTGGCTGGCTCAGGGTGGTGGGGAACGGGACCTGGGGCCTTTCCCCTCTAGGGGGCGCTGGCTGTGATCCGGCCCTGGGCTAGGGGATTGGCTGGCTCTGGGGGGTGAGGAATGGGACCCGGGGCCTTTCCCCTCTAGGGGGCGCCAGCTCCCTCCCAGAAAAGCAAACACTGGCTGGAGTTTCCCATTCATTTATTTGTCTATTGCTTTCCCTCCACGCTCTTCCCAGCCTGAGTTTCATGGGGGGACCTGGTGGGAGGCTGGGCTGGGGGGTCGGTGAGAGGTTGGGGGCTATGCTGTCCCCCTCCCATTTCCACCCTCTTCCTGTGGTCGCAGCACTGGGTTTGGGCGGGAGGGGAGCCCCCAGAGAATACCTTGGGGGTGGGGGAAGGGGTGTACACAAGCCGCTCATTGACAGCTGAGGTGCACAGTGCCGGGGGGGGGGAGGGGGACGATGGCATAGGGCAGAGGGGACCCCACCACAGGGAGAGGCCACATTGGACAGAGGGTGCAGTGGGGGCGGGGGCTACAGGAACGGGGGAAGGGAAAAAGGGTTTATTTGGCGGCAGTGGGGGGCCGAGGTGCTGTGGGTTCCCCGTGGCAGAGGCAGAAGCTGCCGTGGGTTCCCTGCGGTGGGGCTCAGAGCCGGGCAGAGGTGGGGGTGCGGGCAGCGGCTCAGGCGTAATAGCCCCACAGGAAGAGGGCGACGGCCATCATGGCGATGGCGTTGAGGTTGACGACCCGGCTCCAGGTTGGCTGCTCCGTGATGTCCGGCAGTGTCTCCTCGGCCTCCTTGTCCGCACCCGGCTCTGGCACCTGCTGCGCCGCGCCCCCCAGGCTGCAGAGCCAGGCTACGCAGCGCCCCACGCAGCCCTGGGGCTGACCTACTGGGGGGCCTGGTGGAAGAAAGAATGTGAACAGCGCCCCCTGCTGAGCCCCCCGCCCGCCCCCTGCAGCCCGGCGCCCCCTGCTGAGCCCTTGCCTGCTCCCTGCAGCCCAGCGCCCCCTGCTGAGCCCCCTGCCCGCCCCCTGCAGCCCAGCGCCGTCTGCTGAGCCCCCTGTCCGCCACCTGCAGCCTGGCGCCCCCTGCTGAGCCCTTGCCTGCTCCCTGCAGCCCGGCGCCCCCTGCTGAGCCCCCCTCCCAGTCCCTGCAGCCCGGCGCCCTCTGCTGAGCCCCCTGTCCGCCACCTGCAGCCTGGCGCCCCCTGCTGAGCCCCCGTCCGCCCCCTGCAGCCCAGCACCCCCTGCTGAGCCCCCTGCCCGCCCCCTGCAGCCCGGCGCCGTATGCTGAGCCCCCTGTCCGCCACCTGCAGCCCGGCGCCCTCTGCTGAGCCCCCTGTCCGCCACCTGCAGCCCGGCGCCCCCTGCTGAGCCCCCTGCCCGCCCCCTGCAGCCCGGCGCCCTCTGCTGAGCCCCCTGTCCGCCACCTGCAGCCTGGCGCCCCCTGCAGCCCAGCACCCCCTGCTGAGCCCCCTGTCCGCCACCTGCAGCCTGGCGCCCCCTGCTGAGCCCCCGTCCGCCCCCTGCAGCCTGGCGCCCCCTGCTGAGCCCTTGCCTGCTCCCTGCAGCCCAGCGCCCCCTGCTGAGCCCCCTCCCAGTCCCTGCAGCCCGGCGCCCTCTGCTGAGCCCCCTGTCCGCCACCTGCAGCCTGGTGCCCCCTGCTGAGCCCCCCGCCCACCCCCTGCAGCCCAGAGTCCTCTAGAGCCCCACCTTCCACCTCCAGCACGTGCTCCACAGCCCCGTTCGCGGCCACTCCTTGCTGCCGCCTCATTTCTTGCCTCCTCCTCCTCTCCTCCTTCTCCTCCTCCTCCACGTCCAGGTCCACGCGCTCCTCCTTGCTGTGCCGCAGGCTGAACACCAGCCGGTGTAGCTGGGGATGGGGGGTTGCAGGGTGAGCACTCTGCACTGGGGTGCCTGGGTCGCATTCCCCGTCCTGCTCCCTCCCCCTAGGGGGGAGAGCCCTGTGCTGCTGTCCCGGACACCTGGGTCCCTTTTCCCCACTTTGTCTCTTCCACTAGGGGCGAGCACCCTGTGGTCCTGTCCTGGATTCTTCCCCACCCTGGTCTCTCTCTTCTAGGGTGAGCACCCTGTGCAGCTGTCCCGGACGCCTGGCTCCCATCCCCCTTCCCCGCTCCCAAGGGCTACTCACGTGCTTGTCAGGGATAGGTGGGGTGCAAAGCGATACCCCCACCACCAGGGCGACACTGGCCAGGAAGAGGATGATGGCGAAGTACAGGTAGTGGACCCCGCAGACGAGGCGGGGGCAGGCACTGGGGAAGGTGCAGCTGCCAGTGCCATAGGCGAATTCAGGCAGCAGACGGGCCAGGCCCATCAGCAGCCCCCCGACCAGCCCCCAGAACGCGCCCTGTGTGGAGAAAGGCGGGGGGAGGGGGGTGTCACCTGGGCTTCTGAGTCCTCGCTCCCTCATCCTCCCACGGCCGGGATGCGCATTCCGCACCCCCTCCACCCTCCCCTGGTCTCCCGCTCCCCGGACGCCTGGGTCCCCCCCCCCTCCTCCGTCTGCCCTGTGCCCGACACTTGGGTCCCCCACACCCTCCACGCCACCCCTCCCCCATCCTTCCACTGCCTAGACACTGGGTTGCCCCCACTCCTCCCCTCCCTCCCCACTGCCTGGACGCCTGGGTCCCTCTCTCCCTCCCTCCTTCTGCTGCCTGCTGTGGACACCGGCAGACCGGGTGTCAGCTCAGGCCAAGGCCTCTGGAGCTCAGCTGGACACTGAGGCCCGCACAGCTGGGCCCCAGCCTCCCCCGGTGTGTTAGCGTTGTTAAATAAGGTCGGCGGGGTTAGTGTGTAGACTTGCGGAAGCGTTTGTACGTTGCTGCAGGCAGCGACCTCACCTACCGCCTCTGTACCCCTGAGGGGTTGCTCTGAAAGGGCAAATCACCCGCCGGGCGAATCGCGCCCCCGGGGGTGAGAGGCCAGTTTGCCACAGGACAAAAGATGGCCCCCCCGCGGGCTCTGTCTCCATGGCAATTAGTGGCCCACGCTGGCCCAGGCTGCGGGGCTGTTTGACTGCTGTGTAAACGTTTGGGGTCGGGCTGGAGCCCGGGCTCTGGGACCCTCTGACCCCGCAGGCTCCTAGACCCTGGCCCGCGCCCGGCCATGTACACAGCAACAAAACAGCCCCGCAGCCCAAAGCTGAGTGGGCCAGACTCAGAGACACCAGACAGCCCAATGCGGAGCATCAGAGGGCAAATGATGCCCCCCCCCCCATGAAGAGGAGATGCCCATGAGGCCTTGTCCCACCAGCTTAAACTCTGCGGGAAGGGAATAAAAACCCCTGCCAGGAAGAATGGCCCCTTCTCGCCATCCCCGGTCACCTGGGTCCCTCGGCTCCCCCACCCTTGACCCCTCCTCCCCATCTCCAGATACCTGGGTTCCCCACTCCTCCGGCCCCTTCTCACCATCCCCGGACACCTGGGTCCCTCCCTCCTCCTCCCCGGTCCATCTCCGAATGCCTGGGTCCCCTGGCACTCACGGGCTCGTTGACCCTCTTAACGAACAGGGCGAGGAAGAAGACGGCGGCGATGGGTGGCGCCAGGTAGCTGGCGATGGACTGGATGTAATCGAAGAGCTGCCCGCTCTGCGCTGCCTGCACCACTGGGATCCAGGCAATGCTGATGGCCACCATGCACAAGATCCACACCCTGCCCAGAGACCAGGGTGAGGGGCCGGGGCATGGCTGGGCCCACAGGGAGCTCAGAGGCACAGCCCTCCCCGCAGCACAGTGCCCCGAGCGCACCCTCACCTGCCCACAATCAGCAGCTCCTTGCTCCTGGCCCGGGGCCGCAGGCGGTTGTAGATGTCCATGGTGAATAGGGTGCTGCTGCTATTGAAGATGGAGGCCAGGGAGCTCATCAGGGCGGCCAGCATCACGGCCAGCATCAACCCCCGCAGACCTGTAGGGGGCGACAGAGAGTCATATGGCCCCTGCCCTTCAGCCCAGCGCCCCCTGCTGAGCCCCCCGCCCGCTCCCTGCAGCCCAGCGCCCCCTGCTGAGCCCCCCGCCCGCTCCCTGCAGCCCAGCGCCCCCTGCTGAGCCCCCAGCCCGCTCCCTGCAGTCCAGTGCCCCCTGCCGAGCCCCCGCCCACTCCTGCAGCCCAGCGCCCCCTACCGAGCCCCCGCCCCCTCCCTGCAGCAAGGTGCCCCCTGCCGAGCCCCTGCCCGCTCCCTGCAGCCCAGCGCCCCCTGCTGAGCCCCTCGCCTGCTCCCTGCAGCACGGTGCCCCCTGCCGAGCCCCCAGCCCACTCCTGCAGCACAGCGCCCCCTGCTGAGCCCCCTGCCCTCTTCCCTGCAGCCCAGCGCCTCCTGCTGAGCCCCCAGCCCGCTCCCTGCAGCCCAGCCCCCCCTGCTGAGCCCCCCGCCTGCTCCCTGCAGCCCGGTGCCCCTTGCTGAGCCCCCTGCCTGCTCCCTGCAGCCCAGTGCCCCCTGCCGAGCCCCCGCCCACTCCTGCAGCCCAGCTCCCCCTACCGAGCCCCCGCCCCCGTCCTGCAGCACGGTGCCCCCTGCCGAGCCCCTGCCCGCTCCCTGCAGCCCAGCGCCCCCTGCTGAGCCCCCCGCCTGCTCCCTGCAGCCCAGCGCCCCCTGCTGAGCCCCCTGCCTGCTCCCTGCAGCCCAGCCCCCCCTGCTGAGCCCACGCCTGCAGCCCGGTGCCCCTTGCTGAGCCCCCAGCCCGCTCCCTGCAGCACGGTGCCCCCTGCTGAGCCCCCGGCCCGCTCCCTGCAGCCCAGCGCCCCCTGCTGAGACCACGCCTGCTCCGTGTAGCCCAATGCCCCCTGCTGAGCCCCCCGCCTGCTC